GCCTGAGGAAAAGGCGGCCGAGAGGGGACCTGGTAGTAGCTCACCGCTACACTAGGGGAGGACACCAAGGGCTCGGTGAGCAACTGTTCACCAGGGCATCCACGGGGAAAACCAGGAGTAATGGCCACAAACTCCTGGAAGATCAATTCAGGCTCAATGTGAGGAAAAACTTCTTCATAGTCAAGGTGTCCAGACTGTGCAATAAGCTCCCTCCAGAGGTGGTGCAATCACTGACCCTGGACATCTTCAAGAGGAGATGACAGTCACCTCGCTGGGGTCACCTCACCCCCAGTTGTCTTTACTGCTTGGTGCAGGGGGCCGGACCCGACGATCTTCTGAGGTCCCTTCCAGCCCCTTACAATCTATGAAGCAGAGCCACGCAGACATGGCAGGAGCTCTGCATGGCAGTTTCCTGTGGTGGTTGCTGTCTGCTGCCAGGATTTCTGAGTGAAGCAGTTTGTTATAGATGAAGTTTAACTCAGCGGATGGTGATCAGTGCTAGTTGATTGGGGAAATGACAAGGATGGAGATTCATGACTACTGAGGATGGACCCTTTTGCATAGGTTCTCTTATAAGAGGGACCTTTTATAAACCATCTGAGACCGCAAGATCGTTTATAAACATGAATTAATTACTTACTAGACTCCTTTTTTATGCTTCCATCAATCTTTCCTCATTATTATATTAACCAGTCTATAGTGTAACACCTCCGAAAACTTCTTCACTGTAAAAAAGCTAATCATGTAACCCATACAGGTTGCTTAATACCTCAAAAAGAACCAAAAGTATATCACAGCCTAAAATATGTTCTATGTAGGAGACATCTCTGGCATCCATGACTGTAGCATAGAGTACTTCCCAACATTTAATACAGGGCTGTCTAACTTCTAAGTGGCCAGAGGCTGCATGCCACACAGGGCACATCGCGGGGAGGGGGAGGCAGGGAGGGTGGGCACGTGCACCCCTACAAAAAGGCGCCGCTAACACTGTCAGTGGCACCTTCGGGTGCTTGCCACTTGCCACTGCCCCCCCACTGTCGACACCACTGCCAGCGTCTGCAGGTGGTCAGCGATCCTCACTGGCTGCCACCAATGCCTCCTGCAGTGTCTGCAGGTGGTCACCACCCCCCTGCCACTGACAGCACTGGCAGCATCTGCAGGAGCTCCCACTGACCTCCACTGCACTCCCACTGCCACGCTCCTGTTGCCACCATGCCCCCAGCCACCGGGGGCATGCGTCGTTCGTGCCCTGATGCCACAGGCTGCAACACTCCTCCCCTTGGGACAGGAGCCAGCAGTGAAAGCTCATTGAGGGGGGGACCTTAGACACCCCAGCTGCAGCAGCAGCAGCAGCAGCCAGAGAGATAAAGTTGGCAGTGGCCAGTTAGGAGCCGAGGGGCCAGGTAGGAGCCCACTAACCCCTTGCAGGCTGCATGTGATCACTGGCTGGACAGCCCTGCTTTAATATATTTATTTTCACAACACCGTACTGGAAAGACCACCTTTCCCACCATACAGAGGGGGTAACTGAACTGCATAAGTGATCTGTCCAATGTCATACATGGAATCTGTGTCAGAATACAGAACTGAACCACATCTTCCACACCAAGAACAAAGGCCAAACTGGTGGACTACCCTTACTTTCACTATGCTATATCTGGAAAGTGGCTCCGCTGTAGTCTTAACTTCCAGTTCATTATCCTTCTCCCCAGTACTGTTCTTCCTGCACCATCATATGTGCAAATTCTGACCAGCTGGAATCTGTTTGCATTGAACATTATTGATTTTTTCCAACACCTTGCCCAATATTGAGAGCGTGTCAGTAAAGAAGGGTGGGCCTGGGGTGGGTGTGTCTGTGGACAGTGCTTAGCTACTAGCTGCTTAGGAGAACTCTCAGTCTGGCATCACGTAACAGAGAGAGCTCAGGGAATAAAGTAGATAGAAAATGATCCCCATAATTCAAATAATTTTAGGTCTCATCACTTTTTATTTTGTCTGGAATTTTCTGAGTGTTCAAAGGGCCCGAAGCAAACTTCCTCCTGGACCAGCACCGCTCCCTTTAATTGGCAACCTGTGGACAATACGTTTTCAGGTTCACCATGAAACTCTGCTTAAGGTACTGTGTCTCTATATATTTACTGCCATGAATAATTAATTCTCAAGGAGCTGTAGCATATCTGCAGCTGGAGGGAAGTACAGCATTTTGCCTCCTCTGGTCAGTCTCTCTGGTCTCTCTCAATGTGTAGATGCAGATTAGTCATATCCTGTATGTTATATGAACAAAACCGCAATCCTAAAGTCTCACTATGGGACAAGGCTTAGTGCTTTTGAGTGGTTCAGTGGCAAGCTGAGAACAATCATAAGCAACATCAGTTGCAAGCTGCACATATCACTGAACCATCCAGTCAAAACTAAGGGTGCGTACATTCAGCGAGGTTAGGGGGAGGTTAGATAGCATTAAAAATGGCCACATGATCTAAGGTAAGTTGGGATGGGAGGGGCTAGCTGGGGGGTTGAGGGGATTGAGGGGGCAAGTGGGCTCTGGTAGGGGGACCCAGGTGGAGGGGGGGCAGGCAGAGTCTACAGGGGGGATCAGGGAGGCAGGCAAGGTTGGTGGGGGGGAGGGGTTGCTGGAGTCCAGAAGGGTTTGGCAGGATGTTGCTTGTGGACTCCATGGGGGGCTTGGGAGGATGGGGCACTCTCTCCCCCACTCCCCATGACCAGGGGCTATTTTTAGCCGCTTGACTCCCCCCTCATCCCCAGACAAACAACCCCCACAATGAACCTACCCCGTATCCATTCTGCCCCTCTCCCCCCAGCTTACTTCCTCAGCTCCCAGTATGAACAAATGCAGATAAAACCAGCAATAGGAGCAGCTTCCAGGATGGGAGTTTGATGAGCTGGGGTGGGAGAGTATCTGTCTGGAAGTGAGCAGAGGGGCTGGGGGGCTAAAAATAGCCTGGTGCCAGGGAGGGGGTAGGAAAAGCACAGCCCTGGGACTGGGGCCAGTGGCTGGGCTTTCCCAGGCCTGGGACTGCACTGGGAACTGTACACAAATTAGGTTAGATCTGTCTTGCCAGACCTGAGCTAAGCTAAACTAACTTGGAGCTACAAGGTGCAGACAGAAGTGACAACTTTCTTCTGATCTGCCCAAAGAAGGCAGTTTATAGTTGTGACCAAACATGGGCACATGGCTTCAGACAGCTTCAAAAATGGCCAGTCAGGTGAAAATCTGAAACCTCAATACATGAGGGGTCAGACAAAGATGTTTCGAAACGAGCGTTTTCTGTAACTTGTGTCTGCCTGCCTGCCTGTCGCTGACTTCAGAATGGGAAGGGGGAAAGGAAGCAGAGGGAGTTCAGTCTGGGGGTTTTCAGCCCCTGCTGGAGGTTGGGATAGGTGTATTGGAGCCCCCCTGAGGTAGGGGGTGGGGCTCCAATTCACCCACCCATCAGCTGGAGAGCCCCTAGAATGAGCTCCTTCTGCTCCCCTGCCCCCCTCCCATTCTGAAAACTTTGCAGTCTCCCAGGTAGGAGGGGCCACTGCTGGTGAAACCAGCTGCAGGCTTGCAGCTAGCAGCTAGATTCCTCTCCCTCCTGGAATCAACAGTGAACTTCTGTTTGGTCCAAGGGATAGCTGTAACTCAGAACACTTCCTGAAAAGCATTCTCAGTGCAGGAGCTGCACTTCTGTCTGCCCCCTTTTACAGTTACCTTAGGCTGAGTCAGCCATTTTAGATCAATCTAACTGTCTTGAACTTCTGTACAGTTCACTTATAGATCCACCTAACTAATGTAAGGTCCTTACCTGGGTGAACTAAATTAGATTGGATGGCCATTTTTAACATAATCTAGCTTCCCCCTAACCTCCCCAGATGTCTGTATGCAACCTAGATGCCCCACAGACTCCACAGACTCCTCCATATGGTATGGACTACAGACAGAAAGGGAAGACAGAGAAAGAACTAACTAATAGAGGGAAGAGACATAGCTTCCTAGATGTAGGAACCAAATCCCACAATCCTTATTCAAGCAAATGTGACCACAGAGATACAATCCCCACTGGCCTGCTTAAAGCTTGCAAAGGGTTGTTGCAATAATTTGAATAATTTGTCCTTATTTGTCCTTATTTCATAAGGCCTATGAAATTTTAGTTACTAAACGGAGACCCATACTATGTAATATAGACACAGCAAAACAGATGGAGCAGTGCAGTGCTGACATTTCATGTGTTTCCAAGTGCTTTCTCTGTTTCTTTGGACAAAAGGGATTATCTGAAGTGGTGATGCATAAATGAGACATGTAGATGAATGTAATCTGGGATTTATTCACACAAATTGTAACTATTTTACTCTCTCTCTATCTGTCTATGCATACATACACACACTATTGAACAGTAATGCTATATATATACTACACACACAAACACACACACATTATTCTATACACACACACATAGACCTGATCCTGAGAACTTTACTCAGGCAAGATTCCTAAAGATTTCAAAGAGATTTCTGATGAAGTAAAGAGGTAGCAGTTAATAACTGCCCTGCATCATTATGGCGTAAAGCTGCATTATCACCATGGCAGCAGGACCTTGAGAGATGCAATATCTCCCAAGATTGTCTGGCACCATGGTGAACAAACTATATGCATCGCTACCTAGGAACATCTAGTATGCGCTCCCTTCCATAGCTGGTCAGAGCTAGGAGGCTGTGACCCTGCCTCACTTTGATCCATTTTGGAGGTGATTCGTTCCCATGAAAATATTAGTAGATAGTAAGATGACTGCAGCTGTTGCTGATTTCTACACGTGGATTCAAAGGGAGAACTAGAACTCTGTGAGTTTCTGCCCCTTTTACGCCTGGCCCATGTGAGGGCTGCATGGTTCAGCCCTTTAAGATTAAAACCTAAGAGTGAAGTATAGCTGAAACTCTGGCCAGGTCACTAACATCCCAATGCTGCAAATGCAGATGCGTGAGTAAAAACATGTAGAGGGTAGCCTCAGTGCATGCAGTAGCATGTTTCTGTACAGAAGTATGCTGTCTCTGTAGTGTTTCAAGAGGGCAATCTGACTGATTTTAGAAACATTCATTTAACTAAAATGCTCACAATTTAAAATGCATGTTCAACTGAACTTTTCAGAGGCAGTAAATCATTACAAACCAACCTGACTCCCTCCCCATTGAAATCAGTGGCAGTTAAATGACTTCAAGGTGGATGCCCTCACCCTACTGTAACTTGTTAAAATACATGTTAATCATTACACAGTGTTGTCCCATAAGTTCAGCAAGCCAGGAATGGAGTCTGTTTTTCTATTTCATTTCAAGTTTCTATCACTGATCAATATTTTATCTTTAAAAAGAAGCATCACTGAAATATCTGGGCAGCTGCCAATTAAGTTAGAAACACAAGTACAAATAAACCCTCCTATCTCTATCTGTCCTATTGTAGGGCTGACAAATTGTTGGAGACAAAAGTTTGGTTTTTTGTAGGGCTGACAAATTATTCAAAAAATAATCATAATTAATTGCAAGATTTAAAAAAATAGTTGCAACTAATCACTCTTAATCACACAGTTAAGCAACAGTCAGCAACCCCACACCCATGCACTCTGAGGTTCCTTCCTGCCCCCACCAACAGTGCAGAGCCCCAGCCCTGACACCAGCCCACCCGCCACTCACTCTGGACTTGCCCTGACCAGAACAAACCAGCTGGAACCTGTGCAAACAGCCCTGACACCGGCCTGCCCCAAGCCTGCTCCAAGCTCACGTGCCCATGCTGAGCAGCGGCAGCAGCTGGGCAGAAGCTGCTGTTCAGCACGAAGGAGAAGCGGCACCTCCCCCTCACCACTGCTGGGCCCTTCTTGCTGCAGCTGCCTTTCCAGCTCTCTACGCTGCCACCGCTGCTCTGCTGGGTGACCCAGAGGCGATGGTGACAGCAGCAAAGAGGAGCCGGAGGGTATCCCAGGTGTGAGCTCTGGGCAGCTGCAGCAAGAAGGGCCCAGTAGCAGTGAGGGAGAGGGACCACTTTTCCCCTGTGCCAGGTAGTATCTTCTACGTGGCTGCTGCCACTGCCACCACTGCTCAGCGTGGGCAGGTGTGTCTGGAGCAGGCACGGGGTGGGCCGAGAGCGGGATGTGCACGTGGGTTCCAGCTGGTCTGGAGTTGGTACACTCCACTGGTCAAAACGGTGTGTGTGATTAACGCAATTAAAAAAATTAACACATTAATTGCATAAGTTAACTACAATTAACTGACAGCCCTAGTTTTTTTGTTTTATGTTTTTAATTATATGCTGAAAAGATATTTATGTGCAATGTAAGTGAGGAATCATGGAAGGAAAGTAAAAGTGGATAGCCAGGTTCAAAAAGGGGTTAGATGAATGTCCTTGGAGGACAGGCCCATGAAGGACACATCCATTAGCAGTTATTAAATAGGCAGGCAGGGATTTATCCTGTGACATCCCTAAACTGATGGTGGTGGATGCCACAGGAGGAAGGACAGAGGGTGCATTACACTGGACATGTCCTGTACAAATACTCTTACTCTACAGCGGGGAGGGTGGGGGGGAATTTTTTTGGCAGGCATACTACAGACTAGCCCCACATCCTTCTCTAGTGCCACTGATCTCCTTCCCCTGCCAAATCTGCTTCTCTGCTTTCTGCTTCCTGCCCTATCTGCTGCTGCACTGCTTGTTACCTACCCGATCTGCAGTGTGCCACCCATGCCACTTGTAACACATGTCCTGTAGGTTTGCTACTCCTACTCTAAGGCAACTACTGCCACTGCCAGAAACAAGATGATGGACCATCAATCTGACTCAGTATGGCATTTCTTCCGTTCTTAATCAATGGATCTTGTCTTTAGTTATGAATCCATGACATCCATGGTCATTCTTGGCTTAGCAGAAGCAATTTCCCTATTGTAAGTCTAGCTCCCATGAAAATTCTCTCTCTCACATAGGAGCTTCACCCTGTTTTCTTTACTGGGGGTGAAGCCATATTTAGCTTGCATATGTTAACCTAAGCCTGATCTCTTAGGTAGTCCACGCAGATCCCACTGAAAGATGCCAGTATCAGAAATCTTCAACTGGATTCTGCATTCAGTGGAGGCCCA